TTTTCTTGACAGTCCTCTCAAGGCTGCACCTTTTCTTACCACAATTTTTCTTCCATCAACCTTCCAATAATATTTTTCAAAAGCCAGTTGAATAACGGCCTTTTCAGCCCTAATCGTCTGTGTTTGAAGGGGTCTTTATATATCTTACAAAGATACCTCCCATGTGCCTCTTGGGTGAGGTGTTCGGGGCACGTCCAACCGGGGGGAGCTCTTGGAAGATCCAGGGCTTGCTGGAGAGATTGAATCTATCAGATGGCTTTGGAGAGGTTCTGTGTCTTCCTGGATTAGCTGGAGGAGGCGGCTGAGAAAGATCTCGGCATCTCTAAGAGACTGCTCCACAGACCTGGAAAAGCAGCAGAAAATGAATGGATGGATTTAATTTGATTCATTATTAATCTACCTGTTGTTTTCACATTAATACACGCTTTACAACACAGCTCAGGGTGACTGTGTATGCTTGTCCTCTGCTGTTCTTTTTAATAGGCTATATATTTGAGGATAAAGATCCGGTGTCTTCTAGTTTAGATTTAAACTGGAAAAAGGCAAAGCATTAATTTGATATAAAAACTGATGAGCAAATTTAGCAACATTTAACCAACAATTCCTAAATAATGGCATCAAAGTTTGACTATCCCTTACCACTTGCCTCTAGCTTGTGGGAGGCACATAATTGTAGTACTGGGGGAAAAATATTTTATGTAAACCCACAATCATTACATATTCCTTGGCAATTTAATTGGGAAGACAAGTCATTATTATAAAAAACATATTTTCCAAAGAATAGGGTTTATATTTCTGGCTCAGGATGGTGAATCCCCGTTGTCTATCTTATAAAGAGCTGATTGGTTTGTTTTTGGGAATCAAGCTTGAAATGTTGAGATTAGAATTAAAAGTGACAAAAAGTTAAAAGCCTGTGATGGAATAATTCCTTCTTTTGCTTTCATGACACTTTACCAGTCCCTGAAGTCTTCTCAGGCCTCTGATTCATATTCATTTGCTGCTGCTTGAAAGATGAGAAAGAATCATTTGAATCAAACACTCATGCCTCTGCCCTGAAAAAGCTCTCGTTGTCTGAGGCGCGTACATGAAAGCTTGGTTCTCTGCCATTTCAGGCCTCAGTAAATACCAGCGCAAGACCAAAACACGCAACACTTTTTAAATTATTACTTCAAAATGCATCACCTAATTGTGCATCTGTGGAAGAACTTCCTCTTCTTTCCAAACTCAAGTGTGACAGATGAGATGCTGTAAACAGCTATGTGACTCGGGGCTCTCGGGAGTGGCATTTGCACTTTAGTGCCAGATTTTTTATGTCCTCAGAGAATTTTCATACACAAACAAACAAGAAGCAGATTTTTGAATGGCCTCTATATTTTTTTTATTTCTCTCGATGTGTCATATAGGGATGAATCATCATGCTGAGAACAGTTAACCTCAAATCTGTAATATATTTAACAAATTTATGACTTGATTTGAAGTATTCACTTCAAACCATAACATCAGACAATGTCATTTAACTTGAATTCACCTGTAACCACTTTCTGACACCGGAAACTGCATTTTTAATATGAAGCGTTGTATTCCCCCTGTGTCAAGCATGCTCCCCCGATCTTTACCAGATACTTTGAAGTGACAGCAAACAGCTCGTCTTGCTTGTTGTGTCCCAACAATGCACGCTGACAACAGATATGATGCTGCTTGAGCTGCTTGACACATGACAGATTTGTTGTTGTTGCTTCTGGTTGTATCCTTTTCTGAAAGGTTATTTGTATTTCTGCAGTCAGCATATTTCTCATTCAAGCTGTAAATGTAAAGCTTCAAAATCAATTCTGATTTGAAGAACGAATGAAGTGACCTTATATGCGTAAAAGAGGACAATCAGAGAATATCTGCTATTCTGCAGCTTTCCCCCTCACTTTTATTATGTTTCAGCATCATGGGGTTATTGCTTTTTTCCAACCTGCAATATTTCTGTCATTTTTTTAAAAAAAAAGTGTGATCCAGTTCCAAAATGTCTGACAGACGCGTTGCAGGGGTAGGCAACTCCAGGCCTCGAGTGTCGGTGTCCTGCAGGTTTTAGATCGCACCCTGGGTTAACACACCTGAATCAAATGATTAGTTCATTACCAGGCCTCTGGAGAACTTCAAGAAATGCTGAGAAGTCATTTAGCCCTTTAAATCAGCTGTGATGGATCAAGGACACATCTAAAACCTCCAGGACACCGGCACTCGAGGCCTGGAGTTGCCTACCCCTGCGTTAGAGAGTAGCTGCTAGACATGGTGGAGCTTTAGCAGGTGATGCTACCACAGATTCTAACAGAAACACCTCTTCATATGGTTATTTTAAACAAGCAGCTGGTTGCTATCACCCACATAATCAGGTGACCCTATATAAGTTGTAAGTAGGTCATCTGAACTGGCTAAAAATGAAGTGAATATGTTAATCCCAAAAAATAAACTTTCTCAAATAGTGAGGAAGTGCAGTTTGAGGCCAGAGCCAAAAGAAGCAAGCCGGTTGCCACAAAACACAACGGAAAAAAACATGTTTACAGCCTGGTATGAAAATTGGTTTAGGTTTCAGTAGCTGATTGCACGGGGAGTGAATTTTTATAAAACTTATGCATTATTAAGGGTGTGGGTGCTTTGAGTGACAGGTGGGTGCTCTCTTGTGTTCAGTGTTTGGTTGTGTTAAAAAAACTCTAAAGATGCTGCTGTTCATGTTCTGTTTTCCACTATAGTATGCAAAAGAATTCTCATAGGATACAGTGGGACAAAACATGAGACACCAGGTGACCTGAGGTTGAGCAGGCCCCAAATTACATGCCAGCAGCAACCCACAGATCAGCCCTCTTAATCCTAAACCACCTTGTAACTTTTTCTGCAGCTTCGCTCACAGATTGAACGGCCCTCCTCTTGGCCTCTCCTGTAAGTCCCAACCACGTGAGGACTTTGCAGAATGAATGTCCTGCAAAACCTCTGCATCCGACTTCAAGCTCATAGAGGTTTCTGCACTCTTCCACGATGTCTTGGCACCTATTGGATTTCCTCTCATTCACTTCAGTATACACTTCTCATATTGGTAGCTGTAGCTCAGGAGTGCCCAGTCTGCATGGCAAAGCATCCTTGATCATGATACTGAACCCCAATGCATTCATCGGAGTGTGAATATTAGATAGAAAGCACTTTGAGGCATGTTGCATAACATGCCTTGAGTGCTCAAATAGAACAATAGCAATAGAAAAGTACTGTTTACTAGTCCCAGGCTACTGTGTGTTCCAGCATGATCGGATGTTTTGAAGCTTCAGAGATGATGATCGTGTCAGATCTGATCTCCAGCTTCTTTTTATTCTCTTAAGAGAACCCTAGGCTCTCTCTTTCACAGCATGTCTTCCTCGCCTTAACCCAACTGACTGCGGCAGATGGCCGCCCCTCACTGAGCCTGGTTCTTCTGGAGGTTTCTTCCTGTTAAAAGGGATTTTATCCTTACCACCGTTGCCAAAATGCTTGCTCATAGGGGTCATATGATAGTTGGGGTTTTCTCTGTTTTCTTTGTATTATTGTAGAGTCTTCATCTTACAATATAAAGCACCTTGAGGCAGCCATTGTTGTGATTTCATGCTATATAAATAAAACTGAATTTATCTGATTTATCTGCAATGACCTCTATACTTTATATACATTCTTTCAAATGGCAGTTGATCAGGGTTAGTTGGGGCAGGTCTGTTCTACTAATTGATGCATGCACGTCTGTATGAGTTAGCATGCCCAATCACCGTGATATGACTGATCGTGAAATATGCAGGCTGTTTTCTTTTGCATTGTGCGCCTATTTGTAAATATGTTTCATGGATTTTGTGTCAAAATAGCCAGCTGATACAAATTCTGATCATATTGTGAAACTGGGATTGGGTGCCCTCTTTTAAAGCCTGTTGACTGTACAAACTTTCTTGAGAAGATTCTGGACGGGCATAGCTGTGAACAGCCACGTAAATAACTGACTGTGAATTTAACACTAGTTTGTTATGCTTTGTTTCTATAAAATGGTGATGAACAGAAAAATAAAAGTCAGAAGAACAACTGAAGGAATAATCAAGAATTTGTGTAAACTGAAATCTCATCTTGTTTGATTTCATTCTGCTTTTCAGTTTGACTTTGTTTGTTACCAAATTTCTCATTATGGGAAATAAAAAGCAGCTGCCACTGAAGCTACAGTAGCAGCTGCTGGTATATACAAATATAGGTGTTTACATAGAAATAATTATTTCTGCTTGTGGACTTAAAACAACTTACCTGATTGCATCTGTCTCACTTGCCAATACAGTAATTTTTTTTAATGGGCAGCTAACGAAACATGAAAAAGAGATGACATTTATTTTTTATCCCTCATAGTCGGCTCTAATTGGTTGGCTGCTCTCCAGAGCTGGAAATACAAATCAGTGGAAATAACACTAGCCTTCAAATTGCCGAACAAATTTGAGATATGGGTGATGATTCAGATGTCTGAAAGGAGACTACATCGATGGAATTTGAAGTGTTTACTCTTTTTGAATGAAAATAGGCATCTTGTCTGGGAGCTTTCATTAGTCTGAGTATTGGCAGCATTTAAACGTGATTTGTGTAGGTTGTTGCTGAGAATAAAAACAACTCCGACTGGGCTTTTCTCTTCCATTTCCTGGTCACCGAGCCTTCATGTGTCTCATATTGTAAGCCATAAATCAGCAGTGGGCTTTAACTCGGAATGATTGAGGGGAGAAAAAGATCAAAGTTAGGCCTACCTGTAGGTTATACTCAACTCTTCAGTCCTATAACTTTAGCTCCACTGATATACTTTCTATTATTAGGTACAACAAAGTGTTACGTTTACCGCTAACTACTGCAGTCAGATTTCGGCTCAGATTAATCTGTTTTATATGAGTTATTTTTTTCAGTTTAATTTTACTCTGTACTTGTGGTTTTGCAAATAGTTACGTACTTTTTGTGTGTTTGTGTTTGTTTCCCAGTGCTGAGTCCGTGTTCTGCAGTCTCAGCCAGAAGATGTCACTCCATCTACAAGGGTTTCGCTCAGTGTCTGATGGCTCTGGGCGACAGTTTGACGGACAGCGCCCGCAAGGAGGAGGACACGCACGAGATACACTCCATCTGCAGGTCATTCACTGCAGTCACAACAGTGCAGTTTCCCTCAGATCACTTTCAGTATTCAAACACTTGTTAGTGTGCATTTGGTTGTTTAAGAGAGTGGGTTAAGAAATTAAAGGCAGAAGCTCTGTTGGGAAAGAATTACTGATTCTTGGAATTGGAAATAGCATGCAAAAACGTTTAGATAAGAATTTTGCAATTCCACCTGAGTAGCCTGCTGTCTGAAATCGATAAGGCAGATAGAGGCCAAAGAATGGTGCAATCTGGTACCACAGACTGAAGTCTTGTCTCTCTAATTCCTCACTATGCTCGGTCTTGCCTTTTTACATGTAGTTATGAATAGATTTTTCTCAAATTATGCTGTGTGAACATTAATACATTTTTACCAGGATTAATAACTGCCTATAAAGAGTTTAACCATCACTGTGAGGCAGAATAAGCCGTAATTCAGTCGTGCGCTTTACTTAGAAGGCATTACATCCTTTAAATTGCACTCTTCAGTGTCTATTGAAAACATAAATGAGAGTATTGTTGGGAATGTTCACTTCCTCCACAGTATATTTGATAAAAGTCACCAAACCTCCAGCAGTTATTTGTACAAAACATTTTATTTGGGACAAATAAAAAAGAAAAAAAAAGTTACATTTATTACAGTCAGAGATATTCAGACACACAGCTCACAGTGTGTGCGAAGGTAAATGAGGATACTATCTTAATTGTCTGCTAATGATTAGATGATTAGCATTATCTACACTGACATCATGTTTTAGTTAGCTGTTTTAGCTTTATCCCTCTTCAGCACATGTCAGTTCTCAGATAGAGCAGTTTTACTCTCCTTTTAGAAGAGTAGCTTAACTGGTTACCCGTCACTTCACGATGCTTTTCCTTTTACTGCTAAAAGTCACCATTATTAACTTGATGTTCCACTGGTGGGTCTCTAGCTGGCACTTTGATACCAGTCTCTGTTTTTGTGTTGGTATTAAACTTCATATATGATTAACGTACCAACATTTTGATCCAAAAGTAAACTTGGGCATTGAAAATAAAACTATTCTGAAAAAATGTTAGTTATATTATGCTGTTTGCGTACCATCACACAGAAGATGCTGGACCACAAAACACACATTAACTGTTTATATTTCATCTATTTATTCCTCCTCTTTTGCAAACGTAATATTCATTTGCCTTTGTGCTGCGTCTTTGACGAGTCAACATCACAGGACTGTGAATGTGCTCCCCAATAAAATAAAAATTGATTGAACAGAGTGGGTTATATGAGAGAAATATCGAAGCTCTTATTTAAAGAGACAGAAAGATCATGGTGATGGAGGTGAAATCAATTTCAACATGTTTATCTTGTTCACTGTTTTGTTTTATATGACAGTTAATTTGACACTGATGCTAAGCTGCAACTGTGAGCCTACAACGTTTTAAGCTATGAGTGAAAACAGGATGTTTAGCTCCAAGCCTGTTTGGTGAGTAGATACCACCACAGTTACTGGTTTACTGTCACAGAATCTTTAAGTCAAAGCAGGATGGAGGACTTAAATGCAGAAAAAACTAAGAAAGCTGTAACAGTTTCAACATCTTCATCGACAGCAACAGCAACAACGTTATTTAGAAGTTAGAAGTTAGTTCACAGGGACAACTGGAGTTGATCAACCCGTCCAAATTAAAGGGGTCCACTAGGAGGGTGGACCCCTCTTAATGCGGCCAAACCAGAGATAAATGTTCCTCAGGCAGAATGCAAAGCTGACTGAGTGCAACTGACTTTATCTTACTTTGAGGACAGGGTGAGTCCTTCGTGGAGGGAGGCGGCTGGTTTGTTGACTTGTAGGTAAGTGAGTTCCAGGAGGGCAGGCGACAAGAGTCAGTGATCTTGGTGAGAATGACCAGTTTCATGGGAGGAAGGTCCCTACACCGATCATAGGCTACGTCTACACTAATCCAGATAAATTTGAAAATGGCGTTTTCGTCTAAAAACGCTCCGCGTCCACACTATCGTTTTCAATCGTTTCCGAACAGCTGTTCATCCACACTGTCCATGTCCATGCGTGAAACGTAAGACGATTCGACCTGCTCATTTCTATCTGCTGTTTATTTACTTTCCAGCTCTTTGAAATGTCGTGGCAAAAAGTTGAGGAAAAGCACAGAGTTTTTTAAATTGACTGACAATGAGGTGGAGTTGTTGCAAAAGCAAAGGAGAATTAAAGAATTTGAAGAAAAACTATCTGGAGCATGTACAAACTGATATTTATCTTTAATAGGGATGTCAAAATTGGGAGCAAACAAAACAACTGCTGTATAATGCCCTCTGCTATCTTAGTTTAATTGGCCACATGACTGTATCATATGACTAAAACACATCATCGTTTTCGAAAGCATGCGGTTACGCTGTCCACACTGCAACGCGAGCACCATTTTTAAATGTATCTGCTTTGGAGAGCATTTTCCAAAAGCTCAGTTTTCATTGACCAACAACGCAGTCTGAGTGTGGACGGAAGGCCAAAATGGAGAGAAAAAGATGTGTTTTCAAACAAAAATGTATTAGTGTGGACATAGCCTTAGGTGAGGGGAAGGTTCGCTGGAAACAGGGAGACAAAGGTGTTAGCAGCAGGGTGCAGAAGGTAATAGTGTAATAGAGTAATAGTGGTAAGCTGATCCTTAAATGCTAGTGGGTGGTGAATTCAGTGAGTCTAAGGAAGGAACCTGAACTTGTGTTGGAGGTTCAGGGATACTGTCAAGGAAAGCACCCTTGATACTGGCTATAGTAGGTTTCACAACAACCTAATAATCAACCTCCACATGAGGGGCTGGACTATAATTATATATATAATTATACTTCAACGGTAAAGTTTTCTTTACCGTTGAAGTATAATCAAAGGGTGCATGGAAGTTTTCCTGAGGTGCTTTGATGGGGTGATCTGAGGTGATCGGTCTCTGTACAAACACAGGAAAAGGTTAGTCCTCATTTGAAGGGGGAAACTGATAAATGAATTGGTGTAGCATATACAGTGATGTGGATGAAATGCATATCTTTTATGGTAACAAGACAATGTAGAGTTGATCTTGGACAGCTTTTCTGTCCATTTTTGCTTATTGAGAGCTTTGCAGACCGTCACCTACAGATTGTAGCTGTTTAGTGTCTGCAGATATTCTGGTGCTTGTGTTTCTATTATTGTTGGTTCATTAGCAACCCACAGTGCAAAGTAATAACTTACAAAGAGCTGAAGTGAAACAAGTATTACAAAACAGTCCACTGCAGACATTGGCTGTTCTTTTCATGCTGTTGATCTTTGATAGTTCTTCACTCTTCTCTCTATATGTGGTGAACTACACTATCATTGCCTTTTATATGGCAGACCACTTTTCAGCCAATCAGCACTCAGCCTATGCATGGTGTTGTCCATGCCAAGCTATATGCTTGTTGTTTTTTTAGT